TTCTTCCATCCTTGGAAGTGCCCCCATCCCTGGGGAACTGCCCCATCCCTGTAAGTGCCCCAGTCCAGGCTGGACAGGGTTTGGAGCACCCTGGGGTAGTGAAGGTGTCCCTGCCCTGGCAGGGGGTGGAATGAGATGAATTTTAAGGTCCCTCCCAGCCCAGATCCATAGATCCAGTTAAGTTACACTACTTCATGGCAGATGAATGCATTCACTTAATCCTGGGATTTCGCTGTCTGTAAAATGGGAATAAAAACGTTTCCTTTGCAAAGGGCATTTGAGATCCTTGCACGGAGAAGTTCTGTATAAAGGCAAAATATGGTTAATATTATTTTCATGCAAACACGGGCTTCCTGCAAATGCCTGGCTATCAGTTGGGAATACATTTATCTAGCAGCCTTTCAGCGCACAGAGGAAAGTGCAATAGCCTGAAGACAAGAATGAAGACAGCCCAACCTCTTCTGGTTGGTGGAGTTTTTTCTCTTTTTTTGTGTATTTCTCCATTGTTGGAAAAAATAGGTGCCAGAGCCCTGAAAAATCTTTCATGTCCCTGATGTTCTGCTAAACTTGCTGCTGTTCAGTGGAAGTTAGGGCCATCTAAAGGTTTTATAGCAAATTTTTATATCTGAAAAGTTAGGAAATTAAAGCACAAGGAAGCAGTGTGTTTTAATTGATGTTGTACTCCAAGAAACACAGCTTTTGCAGCAGCTTGCAAGTCTGAATGTCAGCTCCAAGCGTGGTGATTGCTGCCATAACCAGGCTCATTAACTGCAGCAGAATTACTTGTGATAATGCCCCCTCCTCGCCCATAGGAAGATTTTCCCACATACAGCTCTGAATTTAGCATGGAATAAGGAGATAGAGTTGGGCTGGTGGAACTTTAAGGGAAAGGTTATACATTTTTTTTCACATTAGTATCTCATTTTGCTGTTCACACCACTGGTCTTTGATCAAATTAACATTTTACTGTAAGTAGAAGAGCACTCAGTTCATGCTATTCATTATCTTGTCAGGAAACAAGGAGAATAATTTAAACTGGATATATTGTGTAAGGCTTTTTTTTTTCTATTTTTAATTGGAAAGCACACGGCAGCGTTACAGTCGTGACCTCCTGGCTCCACTGTGAGCAGTACAATATTTACCTGCTCTGTGAAGGAAAATGGAACTATTTTGAAATATTTTGTTACTAGGGAGGTGGTTCTGTACTAGAAAACAGTGGTGGAGGAATTAGGAGGAATTGGACAATTGAACTATGCTGAAAAATAGGATTTTGGGCAATGTTAAATTTGCATGAGCTTCATCAAGGCAGCCTGGGACAGTGGAAGGTGTCCCTGCCATGGCAGGGGTGGAATGGGATGGGCTTTAAGCTCCCTTCCAAACCCTTTCTGTGATTCTATGAATCTTTGTATTTCTCAGCTGAAATGGGACAGTCCCACACGAACAGAAGGTTTTGTGAACTTTGCAGAGGCTCCAAGTTGTGCAAGATTCCTCAGATTTAGCCATTTTCCATACTGGGCACCCATCTCTGGCTGCTCTCTTTTTTTCTCACTTCAGGAAAAATTGTTCAACCATTTTTAAGAACAAGATTAAGGAAAAAAACCCCAATTTTCTCTCAGATGTTATGAGTTTTTCTTGCTGTTTTGGTGAGGAGCCTGCTGTGCCCAGATTTAATAGAAGGGGTTTGATGAGGGATGGTTCCCTTTTTTCTCAGGGTTGTATCTTCTGTTGCTTCAAGTAGAAAAATTTTAAAAAATAATTAAAAAACAGCCTCAAGTTTGGCCAGCCTATAAGAGTCTGGAAAAAAGAGTTCACAGGAACTCAGCAGAATCTGGATTGAATTTGTTCAGGCTTTGCTGCTGTCCCAGGCACACTGCAGTCACTGCTCTGGCTGGGTGAGCACCCACCAGGCAGGTTCTGCTTTTCCTGGGTGTGATGTGAGATTTTGTGGGGGCACAAGGAGGGGAGACACTCCCCAGGCTGCCCCTGCCATGAGTGGAGACATCAGCATGGGAGCAGGACAGGGAGAGAGGCTCATGGTGAGCAGGGAATGGGGACAGACACCGGGACAGGGACACTTGGAGGACCTTTTGTGAGAAGAAGCAACGAGGAGAAGAGGAAGGAGGAAAAGAGGAAGGAGGAAATTGTGGGGGTAAGGCTCATTCTGGAAGTTTGTGAATGTTCTTTAGGTTTGCCTGCCTGGAGCTAGAGGCACCCTGGAGCACAGAGGGGACAGAGATGGGGCTCCTAAATGAATTAGGAAGGGGACAGAGTGACAAGCAGAGAGGGGTGGCAGTGGAAGAGGCAAGCCCAGAGGGTCTGTCAGGAGGGCAGCACCTCAGCCACTGGGCAGGGGCAGCTCCTGCCAGGCTGGGAGCCTCCAGCCAGGGCTGCTGTGCAGGGAAATGTGCCAGGAACCCACAGAGCTCCAGCCAGGGCTTGTGCCAGTGCAGTCCTTAATGTCCTGGAGCACTCTGGTGGTGCAGCAGAGCTCCCATGAGGAAGGGGTTAATGCCATCAGCAGAGGGGAGTGGGATTAGCTCAGAGCAAATGAAGATCACACAGGGGACAAGAGGACAAAGAGAAGATCACTCACCAAGCCATGTTCCTCTCAGAGCTGATGGGGCAGGGCATCTCACTGGGAAAATCTCATTGGAAAAGCCCCAGCAGGTCCTGTGTGGTGCCATCCGAGCACCAGCCTCAGGCTTGGCTTTTCCAAACTTGTAAGTGCTCAGATTTGAAACTGGCATTCTTTTAACAGGGTTTTGTGTGTCATTTATAATTTATATTGCAATAGCACCCAAAAGTGCTTTCCAGACACTGAGCACATCTGTAATTCTGCCTCTAAAAAGCTTCCATTCTGTGAGAGAGGGGGAAAAAAAGAAGAGAATTGACCAGTATTTCCCAAATAGAATTGCCCAGAGTTTGTGCTGATGTATTTTTAACAATGCCTGGTATGAAATCTTGTCTGGTATTATTCTGAGGATCACAACAGGTGTTGGGAATTGGCTGGGGAGGCTGTGCAGAAAGGGCAGCTGACAGCTCACTGTATATGCAGATGTAGCACCTATTAGCAATATCCTCTGTGGTTTGCTCGCATGCAAGCTGAATAGATTCTCTAAACAATGCTGCACTGAATGGAAGCCATCAGCAGAATTGCTCAAGGCTGCAAAACCCATTACTTATCCAGCAGTAGATGGAAGAGCAAGTGCCACAGTGTAGTAACTTGTCCTGCTTTGCTGGAGTTGTTCTGCAGTTATTAGATCAATATATGTAGCTGCACATCTAATAAAGTACCAGAAAATAATTTATCTCAATGTGTATTGTTAGCTCAGTATTTATCCTAATATTATCAGCCACATAAACCACATAAATCCCTCTTTTTGTGCCTTTTTTTGCTGCTGTTTCCACATTTTCTAAGCACACAATAGGCTGTGTCCCCTGCTCTGATTATTGGAACCACATCACTGTACTTTTTACAATCACATTTTAATTACAGCTGTAGAACCTATGCAAAATCATTTAATACAATGTTGTGAGCAAATAGCACAGATGATGCATTTAGGATTTGATTGCTGTTAGTTTACTCATTGATTAAACATGCAGAGAATGCTTTGACTGGGGAGGAAGTCAGAGACCACACACACACAGGGCTGTAGGGCTTAAATTCACTGTAGGATTCATATTTTCTATAGATTTTATATTTGCCATAGATTTTATATTCATTATATGTTTTATATTACTATAAGTTGTATATTTGCTAGAGCTTCTGTATTAACTATCATTTTATATTCACTACAGGTTTTATATTTGCTCTATGTTCTATATTCACTATTTTAGATTTATATTTCGATTTTAGACCTAGATTTTCCAAAGGATTAGCCAGGAGTCTCTGGAAGTTTGGGTGGCTCAAAAATGGCAGTGGGAATTTATCATTCCATGAAGGGAGGGATCCATCAGCTGGTCAAGAAAAGTTGTGACCTTCTCTGGTGGCAGCTGATGGGTTTGGTAGAATTGGTGAGAGGTCTTGGAAGTGGAGATAGAAAATTATTTTGGCTGTTTTCTGAAAGCAAAGCATGATTTACATGGTGTAGCCCAGGCAAAAAGCAGCGATTACTCAAGGAGGAAAGCAGTGTGGTTTTATAACAATAAAATATATTTTTTTAAAAGAGAGAAGACAGTCTTGCCAGGAGGAGTGTATATTGTAAAAGAAGCAGGTTTTGTTCCATTTCTAACAGAAGCTTACAGACAGTTATGAAAAGGACTTTGCTGCTATTTATTGCCTGAAGTTACTGATCCATCTGTCTCTACCCAAACTCTCATACAGACAATTTTTCCTCATCATTCTTTCTCCTTTCTATCACTATTTAATATTTAGATGGGAATTTTGACCACTGGCCAAGTCAGAGGCTTATCAACTATTGCATAAATCCTCAGCAGCTGATAACTGAGCTGTGCAAAATTGTCACTTTAGGGTTAAATATTGTTGAATAAATAGACCTGCTGAAAGAAAAGAATCTAACAATTCATGTTTTATGGAATAATTACTGCATAAAGACAGCCCACAACATTGTATGTGTGTTTGAGAGAGTGGTCAGAATATCTTTTAATTCAGCATTTACCCGTGAGAATTATTCCCATGAGGAGCCTTGCAATAAAATCTGCTTGGTCTAAGAGAATAGAAAGAAATTGAATAAAAAGACTCCATTTCCACTTGTATTTATTCAGTCTGGGAAATTCAGTGGGCCGCAGCATTAGTATCAGCAGGGGATTCCTTGCTCCTAGCGTTAAATTACTGTCATAATCGCTCAATTATTTCTTCCTTGTACTGTTTAAAATAAAAATCCATCACATTCTATGTTTTTTTCTAACATTTATTAGGTTGAGTGTTTAGGAAAATCAATTATATTCAGTCAGGCATGAATTGATGAATGTTCTTGTAATAATTGTCAGTTGTTAAACTGAATGTACTTTCTCTTTTCACCCCTTTTCATTTCCTTCAGAGGGCAGAGGTGGCTCAGAGAGAGGCAGAGACCTTAAGGGAGCAGCTCTCATCAGCTAACAAATCTCTCCAACTTGCAACACAGATCCAGAAGGCACCTGATGTGGTGAGAGAAAATATTTACTGACTCTTACAGGTTTCTGACATTCCTGCAGTACAGCTCCTTCAGTTTATGCCCACAGCTATGAAAACAGCTGTTTGAAGTCATATTTTAACTGCAAGGGAATGGTGTTCCTCTGGGATTGTGGTGGGGTTCAGCTTCTGAGGGGTTGGTGGCTGGAGGAGAGCAGGGGAAGGACAGAGGTCACCTGGCTCTGGGGTGATCCATCACTCCCTGCCCCAGGTGGGCAGCACAGCTCTCAGAAATCATTTCACATGGCTGACAGCATCAGCAGAGGAGAAATGGAGGCAGCAGGAGAGCCTTGGTGGCCATCAGCACATGGGGCCCTGAGGTGGGGCTCCATCCCAAAGCTCCCTGCCTCTCCTAACTCCACGTCTGTGCTGTCAGAAAAACTGGAAATAAACTTATTACCACTCCAGTTTTCACTGGCTGTATCTAAACTGAGAATTACTCCTATAAATCCCTGGAAATTGAGAAGATACCCTGCACTCCTGCTTGTTTCCTCCCCTGTGTGGTTGTGAATGAAGCCAAGGCTGCTGATGGGACCTGCAGGCACAGGGGCTGTTCCAGGGCTCCAGCTGGCCCTGGCTGAGCAGGTATCACAGATGAGCAGCCAGATTATTTTGATTTTTGTTTGCCAAAGGAGAAATAGGAGTATTTAAATGTAAATATGCAATTAAGTGAAATTTAGTCTACTTCTAAGCAGCAGATTTAAGAAACAAAAGAAATCATTGCTTTCTTTTTTCCTTGCTAGCCTTATACGTGCTTGACACTGATAGCAGAGGAACACATGGCTGCCTTTAAAAATCATTTGCAGAGAATGAGTAACAAACCATAAGTCCTCCAGATCTGTTTGGTTGTCTATTAATACAACCCAGTATTTTCTCAGAGAAGTCAAAAGATAGGCAAGTAGGCTGCAAAACAAAAAATGAAAAGTCTGAATATCACTTGTAACTCTGAATTACCTGCCTCTTCCTATCTTGGGTCCTAGTCTTATCATTATTTTAACATTAGGTCTTTCTTGTATTTAATAGTACTTCTGCACTTCATTTATATTTAATATGACAACTACTGCAGGATGAAAATGATCATTATCTATCTTATTTCAGACTCTACGTTCTAGTCTCAATAGGCACAAGCAGCAGATGATTATACAACTTGTGATGTTTCATGCAAGCAAATTAGAGGTTTTTTCAAGTTAAAAGTATAATTCAGTGTAATAGGAGAGTGTTGTTAACCGCTGTTAGTACATGCAGCTTTCTGTGAGTGCAGCAGGGTGTAGTCACTGAGAATCAAGCTGAATGTTTAGAAGAGATGGGAAGGGGGATTTTGTTGTTCCTGTATGCCCAGAAAAGAGGGTATGGAGTATATTTCAATCTGCTGCAGTGTCACCTTCAGCTGTCAGGGTGTCACTGGGGTGAATTCTCAGCTCTTTCACCACAGATCTTTGGTTTAGTGCTCACCATCTTCATCTCCCTCTTGCTGAATGGATTCTCTCCTCCTTCACTGGAGCTTCCGAGGAACAGCCATTAATCTTTGTCAGATGCATTTTGGGCTCTGTAATGGAATGTGTGCCCCTCCTTGGGCTGCATCTGCCCCCCACACAGGCACAAGGCTTCCCTCACTTTATCCATGGAGGGGGCTCAGAGCTCCCCAGTGCATCCCGGCTGTAATCTCCCAGCTCAGAAGGAGACAGAGATGGTGCAATTAGTCTCTATTATCTTTCCTGAATGGATCTGCCTCCTTCTGGACCACTCTGATTCCTTGTCTTCCCAGGAAGTCAGTTCCAGACTTGAGGACAGATTTTACAGCTGTGGGAAACTGGAAGAAGCAAGATTTAGGAAAGAGAATTTCTGAAAGTGGTGACCAAAGGGAGAATGGCCTTGTCTTAGAGCTGTCACATCTCTCTTCTTCCCCATGGAGGGATGCTTGCAATAATGTTAACATGAACAATTTTCATGCAAGGACCAAGTTCATTGGAAGTAGCAGTTTGGGGCAATTTTTGACAATTTTGCCTGAAACGTGCAGTGTGCATGCAGAGAGCCACAGGCACATGGCTCTGCCGTTCCTGATTAAGAAATTCTGCTCCATTACTTCAGAATATTTTATCTGATTAGTATTTTGTAAGCACAGATTTTCATAGTTGTCAAAGCACTTGGGCTATTAATAATAAATAGATCTAAATAGAATCCTTTGACTTTCCCTGCTGCATCTTTCCAGTGCACTTACCAAATAGGGAAATTTATTCCCTCTGTTATCCCTGCTTTCCCAGAGAGCTGTCTTGGGGTGTAGGAAATTCCATCTTCCACGTTCCCAACGTCAGTCAGAGGAGTGCCAGGTTTAGGAATTGCCAGTTTCCTTCCTTTCTGTGCCCTGATGGTGTTTTCCCTGCAGGAGCAGGCCATCGAGGTGCTGACCCGCTCCAGCCTGGAAGTGGAGCTGGCGGCGAAGGAGCGCGAGATCGCGCAGCTCGTCGAGGACGTGCAGAGGCTCCAGGGCAGCCTCACCAAGCTGAGGGAGAACTCCAGCAGCCAAATCTCCCAGCTGGAGCAGCAGCTGACAGCCAAGAACAGCACACTCAAAGTAAGGCTTGGTTCTGCCCAAAGAGCATCTCAGAGATGATGAGATTGGGGTTTCTTGTGGTCCTGAGCCGTTGGCTCCTTCAGGGTGTGGCTGAGTTCTGCTTTCTGTGGCATTCATGGAATCACAGAATGGTTTGAGTTAGAAGGGACCGTCAAACCCATCCCATTCCACCCCCTGGATATATGGTTTTTAAGGGATCACAGGTTTTTTAAGTTCTAAATGTCCCAATCCCTACTGTTTTGAAATGTATTTTTGCACATTGGACAAGGCTACCTTTAGGATTAAAATCACCACCAAACCCCAGCAGACACTGAGCATGGATATGTAATGAAACAGTTAAACTGAAAAAGCACAGAAAATCCCTCTTAGATTTTCAAACTTTTAATTCCCATTGCAGTTATACATATTGAAGATTTTGCAAGGAATTGGTTTATCTTTCAATGTGCTTGCTACCCCCTTCATTTCTCTCCACTGGAAATGGAAAGTGTATAATTTAGATTGTAGTTTATCATTTAGGGCATAGAAGCAAGTAAAATCAGGACATGGAGAAGGCTTTTATATAAGAATAATTTAATTATTTAAATAATAATAATTTATTTATTTAATATTACCAATAATAAATTTTTTTAATTTCATTTTTTTTAACTGTGTATTTGCTGCACAATAATTCCCATTTATAATTAGCAATCTGGCCCTATACTCATTTGCAAAGGAGCAGCACTGTACTAGAACCAGAAGGAACAGCTAAGAATTCTCTGAATGACCCTTTTACCTCTCTCTTGGGCAGTTTCACTTTCCCTGTGCTGAGCCCACACAGTCCTGATCTCTGAGTGAGCATGAGAAATGATTCCTGACGTAGGGTATGAATCAGTTTCCTGTAACTCCTGTCTCCTTCATTGTTCCACCATCTATGAGCTCCAAAGTGTAAACAAGATAAATTTATCTATTCCATTAAAGACTTGGTAGTTGTGCAGGTTTGATAGTCTGAGAGTTTTCTGAGAGCAGGAGGCTGATAGTTCCCACTCAGCTCTGACTGTGGCGTGGGCAGCTTTGCTCTATCAGAATGATTTAATGTTCAATTGAAACTCTTACAAATTGCTCTAATTCTGACATTTTTTAGCAGTTACTGGTTTTGCTGTGGTGGAGCATAATTCACGTGGAGAGAGACCTGTTAGGAATGAAAGCTGAAGTGTTGCAGTCAGTGTTTTCTGCATGCTTTAAGCTAGCTCTGCAGAATTTTTATGAACATCCAGTGGAGCAAAGGACACTTATTATGTAACTCCATTGACAGTATCACTCCCTGCCCACCTGTCACCATGTGGGCACATTTATTGAGGGAAAAAGGAGCTGCCCTGGTTTTGAGGGACACATTCTGCTGGCTACACCCATGTTCAGGGGATTTTTTTATTTTACTTTTTCATAAAGCCTGATAGAAAATATCTGGAATCCTTGCACTTGACAGATTTTCTTGGAATAAAGCATGTTCCTGGTGAGGTCAGTATTAGTTTAGCCATTAACTTCAAAGGGAGTAGGATCATAGAAATGACAGAGCAAGTCTTTGATTTTCATTTCAGTAATCTCCTTCCATTTTCTCATAGCCTTGCCTGGCTAATGCTCTGTATTTAGCTTTCTGTTGATAGTGGCTGATGTAGTGCCTCTATTGATAAAGTTTTAGTCATTTCAACCCTCTTTAACCCTATTTATTGCAACTATAAAAATATTTCCAAACACTTACTTTGACCCCAAAGTGCTGGGAAAGTCTGTGCCAGGCACAGGTTGTACAAAGCACCAAATCTCAGTGATAATGTGCTGATCTCCTGTTTGATTATGGAGGAATTGCTTCTGAAATAACAGAGATTTTAATGGTTGCCTCCCCAGAAAACAACTCACAGTTTCACAAATTAAAGCAATGTTCTCAACCTGTATCTTGGGGGAATTGTTTAATACTCTATGACTTAATGAAACAATACAGAAATACTTTCAAAATTATTGCTTCTTTATCTTCATCTGATCTAATAATCAAAACATGTCCTCTAGTAACAAGACTTTTTTCACTCTAATTGTATTAACCCTTTGTGGCTGGGTGCTAGAATGTCTCTGCTACCCAGTTAAAATTCAGTAATGTAGTTGATCACTCTAAACTGAACTACAATATTAATCTAATGGTTATTGAAATGTTTTAAGCCCCTCAACACAGCCCCTGCTATTTACCTGTGCCAGTTTAGTTAATAATACAGTAGTGATTGTATTTCCTAAATAACATGATGAGGGGCCCAATCTCTGCATGCTCTGACATGGGTTTATTCACACTACAGATGCAAGATGATTCTTCAACATGGGATATTTGCAAATTTAATATGCAGGAAAGCCACCAGTCCATTCCTTCTGCCCTCTGGCTCCTGCATTTTTGTGTGTTGGAGGTCATTGGAATATATTTTGTCTGAATTAACCAGGTTGATATTTAGTGCAAGATATTAGTTCCTCCAGATTGTCTCACAGCTTGAACCTTTGTTATCCCATGTTCTGTGCATTTTACAGGGTTCTTGGAGACAATTACCATACTAATACATTTTAAAACAGTCATTGACTGGGAAGATGCCAAGTGCCTAAATGTTCTGTTTCTACACAGGCACTGCATCCTCAGTTGTTAGTTTATATTGTTTACTGAAGGAGATGTTTAGGTGCAGGTTTTCCATGGCAACAATCTCTGTATGAGGTACTTGGGAATGATGGATGTGTGTGTTTTTTATACAATCCAAAGTAAAATATTGCTGGTTGTCATACTGCTGTAGCAAGTACCTGAGAGTCCAAAACAGCTGCATTTTGTCAATATCTCTTATTTTTCTTTATTTTTCTACCTGTGTTTTGTACCTAAATATTCCAGGGTATAGCACTTCCCTGCACAGAACTGCATTTAATACAGATTCCACTAAAATGGGAATCTTTAGCTTTTTTGTGGTTTATCTCTGTTTCTACAAAAGGCTCTTAGCACACCCTTGCATAAGTAACTAACATATTAACCCAGGGTATTGGTTGTTTTAAGTTTCTTCTGGTCCATTTTATACTGAGAACTGGTATAAATTGTCATTTATTCCTGCTGTAAAAGCTCCTCTGCTCCAGACCCAAAACGTTACCAGTCACAGAGTTAAGGAAAGGGTGAATTGCAGTGGATTTGCAGAGACAGAAGGACAAAGTGACAAGACCAAGGAGGGCAGAAGGATGTCTTGGGGTTTGGCAGCTCCTGCCCTTGCCTGTGACCACTTGGAAAACTCTCAGCTCTGATGCTGAGTCCCTCCCAGCACCAAGGGCTCTTTGGCTCACAGGTTTCATTTAGAGATCCCTCTCCAGCCTGACCTGATGCACTGCAAATTCCACCTCCTTGAAGTCACTGTGTTTTGCTCAGTGTTGAGCTGCAGCTTGAAAAGCTGCTGGAGCTCATGGCCTGGTGTAGCTGACCCTCCTCAAAATGTGAGACCTCAGGCCCTGGGACTATGTAGTACATCCCCATAATGAGATTTCAACATGTGTTGTAAATTATCAAAACCTCCAATATCTTTAGTATTTGTAGGATTTTCCTGAAGCACTGTCTGCTGTCTAAAGCAAAGTCATTGCTTCCTATAGTTCCAGACAATAAATGGAATTTGGCAAAGCGGGACAAGCCAGAAAAAACTACTAAAACTTGCTCTGTATCTATTCCAGGTGAAAAAAAAAATGCTTGTAGCTAAAACAGGCATTTCATTTTTATTTTTAACACAACTGGAATGACTGCACAGCCACTGATGACAAAAGACATGAGACCTTTCTAAGAGGCCTCTTGTTCCATCAATGTCCCAGAGAGTGCAAATTCCACACTGAGCAGCAGCTCCTGGGATCCATTAAGAGCTGCTCCTTGAGCCTGGCTGTTCCTGCAGGAGATTCCTGTCTCAGCAGTGCTGAGCATGCTGGGCTGTGGTGGCAAACAGCAGGAACAGAGCCTTGAGAGGGCTGTGGGTTGGTAACCTGGCTGTCCACTTTGTCACTGCTCCTTAACAGCTGTGCTGGTGGCAGGGCAGATGTGTCAGCAGTGTGAGAGCTGCACAGGGCTGGGTAGCAAATCCTTTAAAAATGGCAGAATAGTTGGAGGTCCCACAGAACCCACCATGCTGCTGTTGGCATCTGAAGAAGCCTCATTTAAATTACTGAGATGACTCAGCCCATGGATTTGCTGTGCTGCATCATTTTGGGGTTTGTACAGCTCTGTGATACCCACACACTGACTTTATAGGAAAGACAGCACAGGGAGCAGGTTCCCAATTGTGTTTCCCCAGCCCTGCCTCCATGCCCCATAGCTGGGCTGCTGCATTTTAAACAGCTTTGCTAAAATTGTCCAAGTTGCAGCAACCCTCCCCTGCCCTCCTCCTGCATCCAGAGCAGCCCCAGAGTGGGTGTAGAATCTTGAATTGCCTTCTCCCCTGAAGGCAGCCTCTTCTGGACATAAAGTCCTATTTTTCTTTTTCATGTCATCTATTCCTTTCCTTTTCAAAGTAGATTCTCTGTCTTTGAGGTGATACGTCCATGTGTTATTTCTGTTTCCCGTGACCTTTGGGATTCTGTGCCAGTTTTAACACCAAAAATGAACTGAAGCAGAGTTAGCCTGAATTTATCCATGGAAGTTGCAAGCCAGTAAGTTCTGTTCTTTGCTTAGATCAGGTGTGCCTGCACTAAGCAAAGAAATTATTGCAATTAATGTGGCTTCTGCAAGCACCATAACTGCATCAATTATGTATCAATATGTTTTAGGCCTCCTGAAGCATTTACCCCGTAGTGATGAGCACTTTGGTGGGAGCTGGGTAAGGTCCAAGTGTGTGACATTGCGTTCTGGATGGTGGCAGGGGGTTTGGTTCAGCCTTTGGGGCCGCCCTGGGTGGGGCAGAGCAGCTGGGGTGGCCTCAATGCTCCCTCTCTGCTCAGTAATGCTTGTAAAACCCCTGGTACAGCTGTTGAGGTGCTGTAGGAGCCTTCCAGTCAACAACAGCTTCTTCAGTCTGCTCTTTTTATCATGTAGATAAGGTTATCAAGAACTGTCCTATTAGGAATACAGTGTGTGCCAAAGCATCCTGCTTGTTTATTCAATCTCCCTGAAAATTTCAGCTGCCCCATTTTTTTTTTTTTTAATACCTTCATCCCCAATCTCTTCCCTGAGCACATGACAGTGACATTGCAAGCAGCCAAATTGGGACCCACTGAATTCTGTCATGCTTGGCACTCTGTAAACAAAGGATGAGCGAGGTATAATTGTGTTTACGTTTAATTGGTTATAGTTTGTTTTCTAATATATGTAAATTAGGTATGAGTCATTAACCCTCACTTGTGCGCTGCTGTATATATGGAATAATTTGAAGATGATTTTCAAAGCCTGCAGAAATAAAACAATGTAAATAATTAAATCCATGTTCTCTCTTTTAAAGCAACTGGAAGAAAAACTGAAAGGACAGGCTGATTATGAAGAGGTTAAGAAAGAATTAAAGTAAGTGTTAAATGCTTACATAATTTTTTCACAAACTCTGGTTGAACAGTGCTTGTTAAATGAAGCCACAAATCTGTGTTCTTGGAACAATAAAAAATTCAGTCAAAACCACAAAGACGAGGAAATTGGGAATATTGGCAGAAATTGCATCCAGAACCAGTGGAACTGCTATATCTGAGAGTGCTCCTTTTTGTTGCAGCAGAGGATCACAATAGCAAATAAAACACATGTCCACAAAGAAAAGCCACTGAAACTATTGTCCACAAAGGGAAAAAAGTTTCAAATTCTGTGGTATTTTAGGTGGACCAGTCTTTAAAAGTCTCCAGCCAACAGCTGAGGGTCATGTGGACCAAAAATGACATGCAGAGCCTTTGGCCATGGTACCTTTGCTCTGCTCCTGCCACCCAGTGCTCAGCATTTTCCAGTTTAATGCTGGGCTTGTTTCACTGTATATTTTTGCTAATATATTGTGGTTTTAAACTAAAGCCACAAACAGCCTCTTCTTATTTCAAGGGATTTTCTTAAGAGACTTAAAAGAGCCTCATTTTAAACTATAACAAGATAAGCTGTCAGGTTCAGAAGAGAACTTTTCTGACTGGAAATATGTTTAGTGTCAAGGTTTAAATAACTGCGAGAAACTCCCATCTCTTCTTTCATCATTCTGGCATTTCTGTGTGTGTTTTAAAAAGGCTGAAATAACCCATTCCCTGGTTTAATGAGGTATTTCAGATGAGGCTGGTAGTCATGTGCTTTTGTTTACACGTCCCTGGAGAATATGGAAAGCAGATTTGGATTTGCAAGCCCCACAACTGCCCAGCCCCTGGTGCTGATTTATTCAAGCCACGCTGGCTGAGGTTCTGCTTCACCACCAGCTGCAGCACACCCTGATGCAGGGGTATAATTTTCACTGGAATTAAATGAATTGACCATTTATTTGGTTATTTTACCTGATTATTACCTGGGCTCAAAATAGCATCATCATTTAGTGATTAGGGGTAAATACATCCACGTCCTCTCCTGAGTTAAGGGAACAGCTTCAGGTTTTAGCCAGTTTATGTCCTCATATGTGAAGCAGTGAATGGAAATAAGGCTACAACCTTCCAGCTTCTTGCATAAGATATTAAATGTAAATGTGCTGAAACAACAAATGAGTTTTGAATCCTACCTGCTTTATTGCAGAGGTTTAATACAACAGGACCAGGACTTTAAAGCCAGACTTAAGGTGCCAAGAACCCAGTATACTCATTTAAGCTTACTTTGCATTTATACTTTAACTACAAACCCTGTATTCTTAGTGATAATACCAATATTTTAATTTTTTTCATGAGAGCAGGGGTGGAAAGGCAAATCAGAGAAATTGTGACAGGAGGCTTCATATGATGCTTCTGCTCAGGATGAGCCTGCAGAGAAATAAATGGGAGATTCTGCTGGAAGTGGCCCTGGTTGGGTGCCAGTAAATTAACCCTGTTTTCCCAGCTGTTTCAGCTTTTATATCCCTAATTTGTGGATTTATAGCTGGCTTGTAGAGGTCCTGGGGTCCATCCCCATCCTGTGGGATGGTCTGAGGGTTGAGACCCTCCGAGGGAGCACTGAGGATGTTTGCAATGCTGCATCCTCCAAGCAGCTGCTTCACACCATTCCCATGCTCCATCTAATCCAGGTGCTGTGCTGAGGGCTCTGAGTGCATCCCCTGGCAGTGACAGTCTGATCTGAACTGAGACTTGCTGTAAATGAGGCTGGAGAAGTCTGTTGCTGTAAATCTGCAGCCCTCACACTGAATCTTGCTGCACCTGCCTTGTGCCCTGCAACACTGACAGAAATGAGCTGCTCGTAACATTTGCACCTAGAGAAAAGAGATCTTGTCAGTGCAGCAGGAATAGAATGAATTTTTAAGGTGTTTTGGCACTGATGTATTTTCTTTAACCCTTTCTGGGGTGTTAAAGGCAAGCTGGGCTGAGGGTCTCAATATCAGCCAACTCTTACCTCTGCAGGAACTTAGCTGGGCCCATGTCAAGATCTGGGATGGGAGAATTCTTCACTTTCTGCCTTGGCTTTTGTGCCCAATGGCTTCTAAACCTATTTTTGAGATCTGAGAGCTCTGTGTGTGCCTTCAGTTCCCTCTCAAGTAGCACGACAGGGCTGACCCTGCTGCCTTTGCAGTCGGGATCAGACGAACAGAAAGTCGAGCTGTCCCAATGCACACTTTGCTTTACAGTCAGATCTTTCAAGTCTTCTTAGATGTGCAGATTCAAGTCACAAGATCATTTCTTTAAAAAGCAGGTAACTGATCTTGAGCCACAGATTGAGTCAAGATCTCATGGGCAAAGATATTCGTGGAATCCAAAGAAGAAACGTTGTGCTTCCTCATTTTCCTGAGGAGAATGTGTCTTTTGTGACACATTTGGAGAGTCATTTTTGACATGTTTAACTTTTACATTCTTTTAAAAATGAACCTGCTGGAGTGAATATTCCTCTTAGGGCAATTAGAGGTGCCATCAGCTTGATTTTTAGTATATTTTGTGTTTCAACTATGTAGGAAATTACCTGTGAAATTGTCAGAAAGTTAATTCGGTTAGCAAAGAATCCCCTTCAGGTAGGCAGAGGTCAGTAGGTTTCCAGCCAAGGTTTGAATACACATTTCCTGCAGCAATCTCACTGGAAACTCAGGATCCTCCCTGAAGGTCCCAGCTGGCAGCAGGTGCTCAGAACCAAAATGCATCAGCTTGTGCAAGGAGAGGGATGACAGGATCAGGCTTTACAGGCAGATTTTTGGTGTGGAGAACCAAATATAACCATCACCAGGTTCATGCTTCCAGCCATTGTCAGCCTGGTTCTGGGGCAGCACTGTGTGCTCAGGGCACCTCTCACACCTGCTCCTTTGGGAGAGAGCAGCTTTTTCTGGTTTGGCCTCATCCAGGAGGAAGGAAGGTGTTTGGAATGCTGCTGGATTGCTCCCCGTGGCAAACCCACGTGTGGTAAGTGGGGTCACAACTGCTCTGAGCTGAAATGGGATTTCCCATGGGATGTTTGCCACCTGATAATTTACTGTTCAAACTGGGTTTGAAATTCAGATGAGTCTCCTCATTTGGGCATCATGAGGATGTGCATTAGGACTGGCTATCCCTGCAGAGGCCATTCCCTGCAGAATTCATGGGAACAGAGACCTGGCTGGGGTTTTCCCTGGATGAGTCTCTGTGCATTTATCTCCCCCAGCACCTTGGAGTCCTGGGATGCAGAGCTGTGCCTAGAAACACTTTGGCTTTTGTGGATTTGCCACCTGAGTCACACACCTGGGATGTCAAAGCGGTGTCAAGGTCTCTGAGAACTCAAGCCATCAGTTCATATCCTGTCCCCTTGACTGGGACAAATCCACTGGTGGCACAAAAGAGTTGAGTTTGCACTTGGCTGAGCTGTTGTGCCCACATAAGGTCTTCACAACATCACTTTATGTGCTGTGTATGGGGTGATGGTTCCACCTCACAGCCAGGCAAGAGGTGACACTGAGTGATGCCATGTAATGAAATTGATTGCCAGAAATTTGTGGTTTCATTAATTACTGTATTTCAGGGATGCCTGTCAGAATTAACTTTGTGTACAATGAGTATGCACAGATGCAAGATGCATCAGGTCTCTTTCTCAGAATGACTTTTTTCCCTTTGAGTTTGCTATAACTTTTGAGTGATCTTGAATGGCCCAGAGACCTGATTTCCAGAGTCACTTAATGCACATCTAACTCTGGATTAATCCAGGGACAGGTTCAGGCAGTTAATGATGCCTGGCTAACTCGTGTTAGAGAGGAGAACCAGTTCCTGTGTCTTAATACTGAACTTCTGCCCTTTTTTCCTCTCAGTTTCCACATTTCATGGAATCACTGAATGTTTTGGGCTGGAAGGGACCTTAAAGCTCATCCAGTGCCACCTCCTGCCATGGGCAGGGACACCTTCACTACCCCAGGTTACTCCCAGCTCCATCCAGCCTGGCCTTGGACACTTCCAGAGATCCAGGGACAATTCCAAAACATTTAATACATGATCTACAGCATTTAATGCAATTTAATACATGATTAACCAGATTGTTCCTGCTCACAGAGTTCTTGGTGTTTTACACATGACAAATGCTATGTAAACACCATCTATATGTGTTTATGTGTTTTTCTTCACCAAATGAATGTTGTCTTTGAACAGTAAGAAGCTGAAATCATTTATTGCTTCAGTCTGAGGAAGTTCATGTCCTGCCTGCAGCAGGCTGGTTTTAAAAAAATTATCCATGAAAGTACAGTAATAAGTCTGGATTCCTGTAAGATTCTGGTTTGCCAGATGACACAGCTCTAACTGAGAGCCTCTGAAGGGAGACATCCTCTGACCGCTCACTATGTGTATAAAATATTGACAATGAGACTATCAGATTCTGCTCCTAATGTACTTATAAATATTTGGATCTTTCATATTTCTTAAGAAATATTGGGCCATTTTGTCTTCCCTTTGCCATAGAATGAGGGGGTTATTAAAATGAAAAACTGCCTTTTAGCCTATAGTGCCTTGGTTGGGAGGATTATTTGTGCATATTTTCCTTGCTGGTGAGCTGGTGTATATTCTGTAAAGTGCTGTACTGTAGTGGTGATTCCCCTGTTTTGCTGCTTTGCTACAACTTCCTCATTCCCTTCCAGCTTCACAGACAAATTTATATTGTTTCTGACAGCTTAAAATGTTATATCCTTATTAACCTTTAAATTTACACTTTAAACTGGCCTGGTGGGATTGCATATGGAATGATTTAGATGATGCTCGAGAAAATTTTCTTATCCAATAACTGGTTTGAGGAGTTATTCTGTATTCATTAGGAGATTGTGTTACTGCAAGGAAAGTTGTCATCACTTGTGGTGTTACTGGAGAACAGGACATGATAATGTTAATGCTCATTAGTGGAGTTGTTATGAAAAGGAGAAATAGAAAATAATTTCTTTTTTCTGCCTTCTACAGTATATTGAAATCCATGGAGTTTGCACCATCTGAAAGCTCTGGTGCGCAGGTACTGAACTTTTGTTTTCTTACCTATTCAGTAGCTCAGTTGATTAACAAAAATTTTGTCTTGCAATTCCTTGTTGTTGACATTGACAGTTTCCTGTTGATGTTGAGGCTTTTGGGTCCATCCTTGTTTTCCCTGATGTTTTCTTATGTAAAAAGCTGAACTGAACTTTTTTTGCCTGTTAATTTCATTTAAGTGGTCAAGGACAAAGTGACATTTCAGCTGTGCTGGAGTGGGTAAACCAGAATGTTGTGAAGTTGAGTCATTTAAAGATATTGGAATTGTACGGGCAGCACACTGTGCAAGGACTTCAGCATTTTTAAGTATTTGTTAGCCTTGAAAATTTCTTTTCACAAAAGAAAACAAACCTTGAAGTAGTGAGAAAGCTCTGCTGTTCCAGCAAATTAATCTTACTTCAGTTTAAAGGTTATGAATTAAATTCCTGTTTGTGAAATCCAAACTGAATATTGATATCCTGGGATTAATTTTCAATGGGTTTTTTAATGATCGAGGGTTAGATATTTAGGGGAGAGTAAATAGCAGGTTTCTCTGACTGATGTTATTTTGAACAAACTGTTTCTGCTGAAATGCAGCATGTCAAGGAAATGCTTAGCTTGGGTCAGTTGACCTAGAAGGAATAATATAATCTTAACTCTTGATTTAATCAGATTAAAAGAAGTCAAACTGAAAGTGTGCCAGGACCACTTAAAAATAAGTAGGATTAAGAAAACATTCCGTTACACATCTCAAAATAATGCAGAATTGATGAATGATTTACAATGAAAATTAAACAGTGAATCTGGTCCGTGGCTCCCACCAGAGCCCGGAGTGATTCCTGCTGCTCTGTGCCCAGCAAATTCCCTCACTGCCATCAGAAACCAGTCAAACATTTGGGGTTTTTTTTTAACTTTTTCCCTCTGAAATCCTTTTGAGTGCCTGAGTGATATTCTCAGTGCTTTGAGAAACAAACCTCCCCCTTTGGTTTCCTTTAGGATGCATCCAAGCCGCTGGAGGTGCTGCTGCTGGAGAAGAACCGCTCGCTGCAGTCGGAGAACGCCACGCTGCGCATCACCAACAGCGACCTGAGCGGTAGGTCCACCCAAATCCTGCCTCTTGTGGGTGCCTCTGCTGGCCTGTGGTGGGAGGGAGGGCTGAGTGAGAGCGGAGTGGCTGAGCTCATGCATGGCAGGAGCATTGAGGAGCAACAGGAGCACTGCGTAACGTTGGATTTCTGTAGTTTTGTAGGCTGGATAATGGAGTAAAAGTTAGAGAGGCTATAGAGGTTAAGGAAGAGGCATTACAGGCAGTACCAGTGTTTGAGGCTGTCTTGTGTTTTGGGAACAAATCCATCTCTTTCCCCCACACACAGTGTTATGCATGTAGATCACAGTCTCCCTGTCTGATACACTTGGATATACCACCAGCAGGTCAGCTTGGGAAAGCAAAATCCTTTCTTCCCAGCGAAGCGTGTTTGCTGTTTGGCTTTCCTAATGTGGGCTTTTACATCTTGTGTGCACATTTTTTAAATGGCAAGTCATGGAATTTCCAGATTCTTGAATGATGGTTTTTGCAGCTGGAAGAAAGTTAAAAGTTGCCACTGGCCCTGGGATTACTGAATTCTGAGTGTTTTATGACTTTTAACTGAGTGATCTTGGTGCATCCACCTAATGGTTATTCCTTTATTCAAATTGGTTTGTTCCAAAATGTAAATGTTTGCTGCATTTGGGTTCAGTCAGGTCCAATGAGTCATATCTTGAATGAGAGACAACAGAGAGACTTGCTGTCTGTAACTGGATTTATTTAACTGTATCACTGCACTTCATGTAACTGTTCTAGTGTTAATGTCTGTAAGGGGGATTCTCCAGGCTGCAACATACAAGAAAGGTGCAAACATGAAATGCATGTTGTTTGTTTTGGGGGCCTTGTTTGGCTTAAAAATTTTCAATCCTGGAAAAAAAAAAATTAAAATAAAAATTAAAAAAAAAAAATAACCCAACAAATGAAAACAAACCAAAAACAAACAAAACCAAAACTCCCACCGCCACTCCATTGGCCCGTGTCAATCTGCACTTTTTCCCTTTGCGGGGCAAACTTTGCATTTTTTTATCTTGGTTTTTCCCTCTTTGACCCCCCATAATGCATTATGTTTGACCTTCCTTGTAGGGTCAGCCAGGAGAAAAGGGAAAGACCAGCCTGAGAGTCAGCGTCCTGCAACCTTGCCGGCCTCCCCTCCTTCCCAGTTGCTCCGCAACGCGGGGGAGCAGGCTTCCAATACTAATGGTACACACCAGTTCTCACCAACGGGTTTAAGTCAAGACTTTTTCAGCTCATCCCTGGCGAGCCCCAGCTTACCCCTGGCCTCCACAGGAAAATTTGCACTAAACTCTCTCCTCCAGCGACAGCTAATGCAGTCCTTCTACTCCAAGGCAATGCAGGAAGCAGGAAGCACAAGCATGATTTTTCCAACAGGTCCATACAGCACAAACTCCATATCTTCCCAAAGTCCATTACAACAAAGCCCGGATGTAAATGGCATGGCCCCATCTCCCAGCCAGTCAGAAAGTGCTGGGAGCATCTCCGAAGGCGAGGAGATAGACACGGCCGAAATTGCACGTCAGGTGAAAGAGCAGTTGATCAAGCACAATATTGGACAGCGGATATTTGGACATTATGTGTTGGGACTGTCACAAGGGTCTGTGAGTGAGATCCTGGCCCGGCCAAAGCCATGGAATAAACTGACTGTGAGAGGCAAGGAGCCATTTCATAAGATGAAGCAGTTCCTGTCGGACGAGCAGAACATCCTGGCTCTTCGCAGCATCCAGGGCAGACAAAGAGGTAAGAGCTCCCCAGCCCCCCTGCTCCTCTTAGCTCCAAACATTCCAAACCTGGAGCTTCTCCATCCGGGGCTCTTTGTGCACTGCTGCTGCTGCTCTCACCCAGGTCAGGTGCTAGGTGCAGCAAGTTCAGCTCTGCAGCACTCAGGCAGGTTCGTATCTGTGCTTGTGCTTTTTTTAGCCACTGGTTGGTGCCTGTCAGCAGGAGTGAGCAGCAGGGACACTCACAGCCCTCACTTGTCACCCCCTCCATGCCACAGCTCAGCACGGAGCCAAAAGGGTCAGCAGCTACTCAGGGTATCAGCCCTCAGAAATACTTGGGGGTTTTTATTTGAGGTTATTTACTGAGACCAGGCTTTTGTGGTGTCTTGTGTGATTATGTTTTTTCCCCAAAGTGTTCTGACAAAATAGGGTAGGTGATGCATGAGATGAGTAATTAAAACACAATCCCAGTTTTAAAGCAGCTTTGCATATTTAAGGCAGCGATTTTAAGAAGTAACATGCATTTCATTGTGATTCATCTTAAGGCTGAGATTTACATTTAGAGAAACTGAAAAGTAAGTTGTTTACAGTCGAGAAATATTGGAAAGGACAGGCAGGGTTTTCCTAGATTTTGTTTAATTGGAAGCACACACTGTTAGATTTATAATCTGTTCTTCCTTTTGATGATTGTACTTGAGGGGATTATCTGCCCATCTTTAACCTCTTCATTTTTGGTATCTCTAGACATTTATTTATATCTGTCTAATCTCCTTTCCGAACATAGCTGTAATCTTTATTAACAAATCAGCCAGCCTTGCTTCTTCCCAAGTAGCCAGTTCCTCCTGCTCAGGGGCCCGAGGGGCCAGGAGAGCTCAGGGCCAGGCTGCCAGCTCCTCATGTCACACAGTGATGTCAGAGCAACCATCCCCTGATTGTTTTGTTCTTACCAAACTTGTTTTTCAACAGAGAATCCAGGCCAGAACCTGAACAGACTATTTCAGGAAGTACCGAAACGAAGAAATGGGGCTGAAGGTACGTCACAGGCAGGTGTTTTTCTTTGCAGTCAATCCCTAGGAAGTGGAGTGTGCTTTAGCTGTGTGTTTCCTTAAAACTGCAGTTTGATTCTGGCCTGGAATCTGATAGAAAAACAGACAGTAAGTATAAAACAAACCATGGGTTAGATGAACACTTTGCTTTTTCTAATTCTGCTGCTGCTGTACTAACGTAACCCTGTTTGGATAGTTCTTCCACCCCCCCTGCAAAACAGATACAGAGAGAGAAGTGATGGAAGTGGCTTTATAAAGTCATCAGATCTATTGAAATGCTCTCTTTGCTATTTTTATGGTTTTGGAGGGAGAAAGTTGCACAGTTATAACATCAATTGCATACTGCTTCTGCTGCTCTAGGCTTACTTCTTTCTTCTCATGGGGCTTATGCTGACAAATTCCACTTTAATACACTGCTAAATTAGTGTGATGCTTAGTTCAGTATTATATATGAAAAAGGCAACAAGATAAGTGAACATCAGATCCATAAATTACCACTGAGCAGGAAGTCTGCACATTTTTGTCATAGATTAGTTCCAGAAATTTTCCTTTAGTGAGACCAGAAAGAATGAAAAACAAAGGCAGGTACATCAAAAGTCTGTAGTTATTTTGACTCCAGTCACAAATTACCTCAATTGCTTACAAACAATAATCTCATAATGGAAAATGCAGTTAAGTGCAGTAGCACTCACAGTTTTCCCTCCTTTTCTTCCCCTTAGAGGTTAAAAAACAAAAAACAGAACAAAAAAAAAAAAGCAAAACCAAACAACCAAGTAATAGCTCTTAGCTGGAGAGTACTTAAATGATATCTGCATTTAAATGACTCTTTCTCTTAATGTATTAACCTCTAGAAAGTTAAAAATTATTTTTATCTAGTTACTTTTTAATTCTGTTTTGGGCTGAATGTATACTCATCCTACTTTGCCTAGCAGCTGATGCCATTTTTAAGTTGATTCCTGGGCTTATTTTTTTAGCTTTCTTCCTTTCTCCTCCGGTTCTTTTCCCTTTCTATTTCCTCTTCCCCTCAAAAAAAAAAAAAAAAAAAAAACAAAAAAAGAAAAGGAAAAAAGAATAGATCTATATATGCTACCACAGAAAAGGAATATATGACCACCTAGTTCTTCCTCTGGTGTTCTCACCATTCTGGGGCAGCTAGAGACAGGCACAACGAGGATATTTTGCTTTTATTATGTTAAGTACTTTTTTTATGTGATGTAAATGTTAGTAAAGGTCCTGTGCAAGTTGTCCTCAGGTTGTGCTGTCCATGTATCACATCCAGTGTGTGTTTGTGTTACAAAAGCAGCCAAATAAGAGTTTTCCTGGTGTCATTAGTTGTGGTTTTTTCCCTCCCCAGGTAACATAACCACACGAATCCGAACCGCAGAGTCTGGCTCTGATGAAGCCATCAAATCCATCCTGGAACAAGCCAAAAGGGAGCTGCAAGTACAGAAAACAGGTACAGCCTCATTTTGTCTCTGCCTGCTTTTACTGCAGAATTTAATTAAAACAATTGCCATGAGCTTTCTGGTCAGTTAATTATATTCTTAAAAGATTCAGTGTAGGTTTGAGGAGGTTTTTTGGAGGTTTTTATTGTTATTTAGCGGAGTTGTTTCTGTCTCTGAGACGTCCCAAGTTAAGGTCACTCATGGCGTGGTGGGGTCTCTGCCCTGCCCTGCTCCCTGTGGGATTTCTGAACAGCTTTATCCCTGTGATAGAGAGAGCTCTGAGCTCCTGGCTGCCCTCCAGACCTGCAGGAGTCACTGAGGGGAACCTACAGAATCCTTTCTTCTCCCAGTTTGCTCCTTGGAAAGGGAACAGCTCCTGCTTTCTCTTCCCTTCTGTCTCACTCAGGCCCCAGGGACACAACTGCATGGGAGAGGGGCTGGATGGATTTGTTGGGGTGAAGGTCACACTCCAGGCAGCAATTACCAGTCCCAGCACCATGGTACATCCTGTACTCAGATAGGCACACTCAGTCCTGACTCTTAGACGATTTTATTTTTGGTTACAGAACGTATTCAGTGAATGAGTTGGCAAATCCAAAACGCATTCCCTTTCCCAAAAAATCCCTCTTAGCCTGAGATAAATCTAATTTCTCATTATATGCTGTCATGTAATTAACATTTCTGTCTAGTCCATGGCCCTCTCAGCTTTAAGAGTTCCCAGTAGTGCTATTGGGCTGAAGTAGAAATTACTGTGCAATACTTCTGTTTCATTTTTTAAAGTAAATACTGGTTTGCAGTTTTGGATAGTTGTCTTTCAAATGAAAACTAAGTTAATCTCGTGGCAGAGTATAAAACACTAGTTAATATATGATCTAAATAACATGACTTTATACAGGAAATTATTACAAAGAGAAAAATATGGGCTTTGTGCAGGAAACTGCAAGAATGTTACTCAGTAGCATGTTTCATCCGAGAGTCTCAGACTTCCTTTCAAATATTAATTTGGCCTCAAAACTCCCTGTGAAACCAGCAGATAAAACAGCAGAGATAGTCTCACTGTCTTTTTTTCCTATTTCTTAGCTTTTCATGTATTTTACAGTGTGTGACAGGAAGAAATGTAAGGAGGCAAATTCAGAAGTGCATTCAGATGAGCTTTAGTATTACTGGAGCGATACACAGAGTGTTGGAAATCTTATTTCACTTTGGGGCCACTCCTTGCACTGTGGAGTTCCCTGCTCCCACCTGGTGCCTCACTTTGCCTGTTCTCTGCAGAGCAGCTTTCAGAGGAACTGGCTCCCAAGCACTGGGGACCTCAGTGGAGACTGAAATAGAAGCAGATGCCATTGCAAAACCTCCTGGCTCTGCAGAGATAATTCCCACCCACGTTCCAGTCTCTGCTCATCCCTGACTGCTGCAGCACAGCCACCCAAATCCTGGTTCCCCACTGGAATGCTGCATTTGGGGTTTATCTCTGCTGAAAGCACCTGTGACTCCATCCTAGAGCTTCAGATAAGGGAGAGGGTGATGCCCAGGTGTCAGCCTGGCTCTGGCAGAGCTGTTTATTTCAGTGGTTGGGACTGTGGTACAAGAAATCAGGAAGCAGGAGCATATTTAGTTTGTCAAGTGAAATAATGATGATCATCTCTTCCTAAAGTTCTGTCTTTGTTGTAATTTGTGTGTTGTGGTTTTGAAGTTAAAAGGTCTCACCTTATTTATACTGTAATAGTCTGTCCAGGTGAATGCAGCTGTGTTCAGTTCTGAGTGCATGTTAAATTCATTTGTGGAGAAAAGAGTGAAGTGAAAGGTTAAATAACTTTGTAAATGCAGCTATAAAATGTTATTGACCACTTGAGGGTGGGGGAAGAAGAAGTGAAGGGTTGATTTTCAAAGGCATTTATTTGAAATTTTTTACAATGGTGGAAGGGCAAGTGATCCCAGACTTGTGCAGCTGAGTCTGTGCGTGCAAACATCCAGCACTTTGGCAACTCTCAAAATTTTCCAGTGAAGGACTTTGGAAATCTTACATTATTTTGAAAAGTGCAAATCTTTGCTTAGTGAAAACTCCTCCCTCCCATCCAGAAATGTATTTCAGCCCCGTTTTGGGTTTGGTTTTTTTTTTTCCCTGTCAGGGAAATGTTTACAGTAGCACGTGTTGAATATAAAGCATTTTCCTCTGTTGCATTTAGTCTTTTGGTTGTTTTTCATAGCTGAGCCGGCTCAGCCGCCTTCTGCCTCTAGCAGTGGCAATTCTGATGATGCAATTCGATCCATTCTGCAACAAGCCCGACGGGAAATGGAGGCACAGCAGGCTGCCCTTGAACCTGCCTTAAAAACACCACCTCTATCTCAAGCTGACATTTCTATCCTGTCCCCCAAACTAGTGTCTACACCTGCAATGTCTTCGGTTTCCAGCTATTCTCCTTTGGCCATATCCCTGAAGAAACATTCATCTGTCACTGATTCCAGTATCTCTGCATTGCAGAACCTCTCTGGGCTCAAAAAGGAGCCTCAGGAGGCACCTGTTTTAGAGCTTCATGGAATAAGTGATTCTGCCCAGGGTATGTTGAGGCATGTTAAAAATGAGTTGGGACGTGGTGGTGTTTGGAAGGACCATTGGTGGAGTACTGTGCAGCATGAGAGAAGAAATGCAGCTCTTCCTGAAGATATAAAAGTTGAGGAAGCCAGTGGTGGAAAAGAAAAGGTCAGCAATCAGACTAGGCCAGATCGTAGCCAGCTCCAAGGACCGTCTTCTTCCGAGTATTGGAAAGAGTGGCCAAACGCGGAATCTCCGTACTCGCAGAGTTCTGAATTGAGCATGACTGGGGCGAGTCGCAGTGAGACACCACAGAATAGCCCCCTCCCTTCATCCCCTATCGTGTCCTTGTCCAAGCCATCCAAACCTTCGGTTCCTCCACTGACACCCGAGCAGTATGAGATTTATATGTACCAGGAGGTGGATACCATAGAGCTAACGCGGCAGGTCAAGGAAAAGCTAGCAAAGAATGGCATCTGCCAAAGGATCTTTGGGGAAAAGGTAAAGAAGTGGTTCTCTCTTGTTTCACCAGTGTTGTGATTGTGCCCTCTGCTCCTTACAGAGCCAGAGGGGTCCTGTGGAAAAATGGTTTTGCTCTGTGTGTGAAGTGTTTCAAAACTCACAAAGTGTTAGTTTCCCTCTGTGTGGTAGGAATTGCAAGGGTTTTTATGCAGGCATTGGCTTCAGCCACTTGGAATTAGGAATGGGGCCCCTAGTTTAGAAAACTTGAAAGCTGAAGCAAATGTTGCTGAGACTCAATATTTCACGCTTAATGTAATGAATTCGTGGAATATTTGAGTAATGCCATTGTCATGACTGGAGAGTCTTAACTTTGTTATAAGCAAAGATTATGGACACGAGAGCATTTTTCCTCTTTCATTATTATTTGGAAATGTGCACAAGGGCATTAAAACAAACACATGGAAAATCCCCTAACTCTCCTTAGTCTGAAGTCAAGAATTCCAAGTCATTTCTAATACCTGGTGCTCAGTACCTCAGTGTGCTCTGAGATGTTTTAGAGCAATGTTTGATTACAGGTAAGGCTCCCTGAAGTTCTCACGTTGTGAGCCCTAAGCACTGAGCACGTGGGATTTTGAGGGTCCCTAACCACCAGAAAACCCCTCCTAGGCTGTAAAAAGTGTTGGACATTTGTTGTTTCTTCTCCCTATAAAGAATTGAATCAATATAAAAGTGTAATAGGAGCTGGCATCGCACTATTACCTTCTCACTAAGATGTAAAATGAAAAGTCTGACCTCTCGGGGTCATTAAAGATCCCATGGCAGCTTTCATTAAGTATGATTTTTAACTCTTGTACCTGTGCTGAATACCAGGCAAGTAATTGCATTCTGCCTGTCTGAAATTCTCCCCCCTTCCCCCTGCATTCAGCTGTATTCTTAAATATTTACTTATGTGGAGCAGCTGCTGCTACAGGTGAAAACACACATCATTATAATTCATCCCCCAAAAATCAACCAAATATAGGCCTAGTCTCAAAAGTCCCAATTATTTTTGTTTGAGAACAAAATACATGCCAGTCATTGCCTGTTTCATCTGCCTGTGTGTGCCTGGACTTGGTGTTTTTCCTGTTAAAACTGATGAAACTGTTTGACACAAAATATGAAAAGCATGCAAATCCCTCACCAGGCTGCTGCCACCCAGATCCTACAGGAAAAACCCACTTTCCTTCAGAAGGCAACAGGGCAGCAAGAAAAGCATTTCCATCTGAGCATCCACAGAAAGCAGTTTTTATAATTGTCCAATTTTTACAGCTTTTATAATTGTCCATTTACAAACAATTTGAGCGATACAGTAAAGGAAACCAAAATGATTTAAATTCCCCCTGTTTCCACTGCCAGTGTGTTAACGTGCCATTCTTGGTTGCTTCACTTCAGGTATTGGGGCTGTCCCAAGGAAGTGTCAGTGACATGCTCTCCAGGCCAAAGCCATGGAGCAAATTGACCCAAAAAGGCCGAGAACCATTTATTCGTATGCAGCTCTGGTTGAATGGTGAGCTGGGACAATGTGTCCTGCCTGCACAAGGGCAGCAACAAGGACAAGGTAATTAAAATTCCACTATGTTGTTTGAGTTGAGGAGGAGGAGATTTTTTTTTTTCTTTTTCTATTTTCTGTATTTTTTTAAATTTTTTTTAAATTTGCGGTAAGCCAGCCTTGCACCAGTGCTGGTCCAGGCGTTATGGAAGTGGCACCATCCCACCCTGGCAGCCCAGCCAGTCCCTAAGGGGACGTGCTGGGAATGTTTATGAACGTTTATGTGTAATTGATAAGCAGCAGTTATCAAGTTCCTCGTTAGGGTGATATTATCTAGGCATGAATATGACACACAATCCCAAAAATTTTGGCCAAAGAGCTGGAAAATGTTGTGCGCTGTTTCCTAGGGTTGCACAGGGGATTTGGATTGTTCCAGGGAGAATATCGATTGCTGTCTCAGGAGGTGAGCTGGAAAACTGAGCTTTAAAGGGGGAATGCTGGGTTGCAATGACACTTTTATTGTGGCTGTCTCTTCCCCTAGTACCTATTGACCCAGAAAAGCCCGGCTGGAGCCTGGCCTGGCTGCACCTTTCTGTGCCATGAGTTAACTGAGCAGCGAGCCCTTGCCGAGATCAGCACTTTGCTATTTGTTGAGCCTGCTTACTGTTTAGTTTGTGGTTTGGCATCTCCTTTTATTGTTCCCTGATTTTCCTCTCCTCTCTTATCTAGTCCTTCACTCTGTGACATCATTACAGGATTCCCTACAGCAGGGATGTGCAAGCTCAGGTAATCAGCTGGTTTCAATGATTTGCTCTGAAATAATTCTCTGTGCTTTTGTTGCGTTTGCTTTGATGCTGAGAGGTTTCTCACATTTTGTTGTATCATACAGGAGTCCCTTCAGTTTTTTTTTATTAATGCAGTTAATTCCTCCTTCTCTCCTTGTTGCTATGGCAGATGTAGGGAGCACACATATTTAGTTGCATATATTAGGTAAAGAGGCTCTGTCTGATCTTAGAGATCATTGGCTCTGTAAGGGGTTTTTTTTGCCATAGTTCAGCTTATCAATGTGACATGTGACAATGGCTGTAAAACAAGCCCTTGGTTTGTAATGTGATCCACATACTGCAGCTGCCTCACTTGCTGGTAGGTTTTTTTCCACTCTCCTTTGCACAAAATCTGCTTTGTTAATCCAAAGGTGGGGAACAGACCACGTTACGTCTGTTTTGAGCTTCGTTAAATATTCCCAGGGGACATTTTTTGTCTCCTTTCCATTTTCAAAAAATAAAAATAAATTAAAAAGCAGACGCAGCAAAGCTGAGTGTCAGGGAAGTGAGTGGCTGAAGGCTTTAGAGATGGTCACAGGATAGGAGGGAGGCTGGGACAGGAGAGAACAGCTGTGTTCCTGCTGTTGGATACCAAACTCTACCCACACAGCCTCTTACCAATGAAATGCTTCACTGACGTAAAACACTCCAGAAAAATACCCGTGCCCTGCTCTGTGCTTGCAGCCAGTGCCCTGTGCTGGAGAACTGCTGCATTTCAGGGCACAGACAGGGAAGGGTTGTGCTCTTCTTCCACCTTTCTGCTATTCTGAAATACTCTTTTTTTCTGCAGCTTGCTGGCTTTACTCTAAATATCCCAGCTGAAGTGTTTTTTTCTCTCTACTGGGGAAACTATTTAGCATTCTAAAAGATTTTGCTAGAAGAAAATTTGTGATGATATTCAGTCCACGTTTTTCTTAAGGAGAACAGTTGAAAATAAATACATAAAAGAAAGGGGGAAAAAAAATGCCCCCAGTAAAAACAAGCCATGAAAACAAAACCAAAATGGGAGAAAATTATTTGCAATCATAGGGCTATTGTTACTTATAGCCAAGCATTTAGGGAACATGGAAATTTCCTGTGATGGTTCATTAAAAACATGCCATTGAGTACTTTTTTTGTGGCATCAATGCCGTGCAAGAGTGTCACAGTCACAAACGCCTGAGACGGCATGGAAAATATGAGTAATTAATTGTAGCCATTTTAGGGGGAATTTGAAATCAGAGGAGCTGGGAAATGCTGCATTGTTATTGCTAATCTTCATATTTATGACTAGCTCTAATTATAAAAGATGGAAAGACAAGCCCATAGTATTAAAATCCAGCCACCCTCTGGATTCCCGAGAGGATCGCTGGGAGCTGAAAGTGATTTCCTTCAGGAAGTTCAGTTTTGCTGCTGGGATATTTTGTTCCCTCCCACACTCCCAGTGTCATTTGTCAGTTCCTGCCCTTGAGCTAATATTTTGTGAGGTGACACGTTCCTATCAGCTAATAAAATCACGTTATTGATGATTGTCCTCCTTCATTCCTTAAAGCTGACTTACAAATGAGAAAATGGGCTCGTGCCCTTTTCTACCTCCTCTCGGAGGATTAAAAATAGAATTGTTGTACAAAATGTTCTTTTCTTGGTGCCTTTCTCTGTGTGAAGGCATAAGGAAGGTTGTGACACCAGGCAGAACAAAAGAGCAAAAAGCCAAGTTATTTGAATGAGGAAGGGCAGTTTGGTAATTTCCTTTTATTAACAGCTGTTCTGTAATTAAAAATGCAGCAAACAGTTTGGAAAAGGTAATAATAATTATGCATTTGTGAAAGATCCATCACTCCAGGGCAGGGAGGAAAAAAAAAAAGAGAGAGAGAAAGCTCCAATTTTCTGGTCTTCTGAGACGTTTCCCAGGAAAATCAAGGCAGAGAGGGTTGCATACTTGTAATTTTAAAACAGAAATTAATCAGAACAGTTTTGAAACGAGGAAAGGTCTGGAGCCTTTTCCGTGTAATATAATTGGCTGGGAACTTGTTGAATGCATGAAGGGAAAGAAGTGAAATTAAACTAATACACTCAGTGGCTCCTGAGTGCTTTGCCAAGAAGGTCTTCAGTGTACAGAGTGTCAACATGCAGAGTAACGACTCAAACTTTCATTAGCTGGGATATTTTCATTGCTGTTTGGCTCTATTCTATCGAACTAGCAAGATTTTCTGGATTTCTGGCCCAGTTAGTTACACTTCTACATCATGAAGTTTTGGTTAACACCTCATTCATGAAAATCTCACCTTTTGTCCAGTAATTTTCCATTTTCACGTGTAGACAGATGGGCCCATCAGTGTTTCATATAATGAATGGATAAACATCTATATTTTTTATATATTTATATGTATGTTGAGATTGCAAAGGGAAGCCAAGCTTGGTTTTCTTCATTGGAAACTGTATTAATGGATTTCATAAAAAACAGCCCGTACCAAAATGACTGCCAGGTATTTACCTGTATTTTCTCCCTGTGAGCTTTCCTCAAGGCTTGGTGATTTTGTGCAAGTTTCAGGGAACATGTTTTACACAAAAATGCTGTCTGTACCCTAGGTGGTCAAAAATAGTATTGCTCTGCCTTTTCTAACATTTTTTCTGTGTATTTCTTTCCACCTAAATGCTCTAATGCCCTTGGGTAAATCTGCCTTTTTAATGATTTATGTGTCAAAAGCATGGACCAAATCACATGGAAAAAAAAGTTGAATTAGTGTCACCCAACTGCATCAGCATTTTTTCCTGATGAATTTGGCCCTTATTTAGTTGCATTACTGCTGATGGGAGCCGGGGTGGGTTTGAACAGTTGCCATGTGCCAGGAGAAGGCTCAGATATTTCTCTAAATACTTGTACTGTGCACAGCTTTTATTAGTTGGTTTTATTTTGGGGGTTTGTGCTGCGTGTCTATAGGAGATTGAGACAGAGTTTCCTTTTTGGTGCTCTTGATTCCGTCCGTGGCTGCTCTCAGGAAAGCTGAATTTTTACATTCGCTTTTTTTCTTTATCCTCTGTGAAGGACATATACTCTGTCTATACTACATTAAAGGCTTGCAAATACTCAGTGGGAGGAAGACGTGCCTTTTTGGTGTGTGTTTCTGTAAGGGTCGTCTTATGACCTAATGTGGAAATCTTCATTTGCCGATACAGCTGCGGGTGATCTCAGGGGATTTTGAATTTCCCTTTTGTTTGTCTTCCTTTCTGGGTATCATCCATCATTCCTAACCTCATGCTGCTTAGCAATAGTAACACTCATGGGAGTTGAAGAAAGGATTATAGCAGCATAAAATGGGGAGCTAATTAGAGCTTGTTTCAAAATCAGAATCTAGCTTGAGATAATTGCGTATTATCTGGTGATTTAAAAACCCGAGATCTACTGTATTTAGATCAACTCAAATATGCATAAAAGCTTTCTTTTCAAAATAACAACGGGGAGATTACTTCTTGTCATCCCTTGGGAACACAAATCAGAAAAACCTCAGGATGATTTTGTGTTGTTATGATATTAACAGAGAGATCGGGGTGTGATGGCAGAGCCAGGTATCCATTGTATTTTCACTTATGTAATACAGATTCCTGTAACATTGGCCAGTACAGAAGCTACTGAGTGGGCAGGTAGTTAACTGTGTGCTGGGTGGATATTCCCATTTTCCTGGTACCAGGACAATTCTATCACGTGGAGAAACAAAGTAGGGAGAGAGCGTGTTTCAGCCCAAATTTGGGAACACCATCCTGATGCACTTCTGGGAACAGCTCAGTAGTCTTGTGGTGGCAAAGTAGAAGCCACCTCCTTGTGTGTTATCATCTTTTCTTGCATTGTTTTGGTTAGTTTGGGTGGGCAGAGCTGTGCAATGGTGCTCCAGAGCACAGCTGGGATTAGCACAGGGAGAGCTGAACCCTTTCACTGTGGCATCACCAAAGTGATTGGTGCAGTGATGCTGACAGACCTTCCCAAATTGGAGCTGGTTTTTGTTGTTGAATCAAAAAAAAAAAAAAAAAGAGAAAGATGGTTTTGCAGTCATTTGCTGGTATTCCAGGTTAATAAAAATGTACGACATGAAATGTTTGTGGTTAATGTAGTCTGTGAAATGGAAGAGAAGGGAGATCACATGGCTCAGACAGCAGACTGCAGGAATTCCTTGCAGAGATGTTTTGTGTTTGATGACCAATTACTGAGTCTTGGACTTGGGAAAGTTGTGGCCTTTTGTGCTAGGTGCAAATGTGGTTTTAAAGTTCAGAGCTGAACTACAATGTCAGCCAAAGAATTACCTTCATGCTTATCCCTGGAGCACCCTGGCACATCCTGGTGAAGTTTCCACGTTCTTTCTGTGTGGTTTGGGATTGGGCTCAGGCGCAGTTGTCTGTGGCTGTGTTGATTTCAAACCATAGGGTATCAGTTGGCCCCTCATGAGGGCAGCTGTTGTAGTCTGTCTGTAACGTGTGTGATCATCCTCTGTGCCACTTCCCTGACATTTGGACCATGAAAAGCTCCCTGGCAGCCTTTCTGATATCAATAAAACCAGAATTGCTGTCAAAGCACCTCACTGGGACCTGGGAATGCAGCATGAAGTCAGCCAGTGCCTCAAGTTGATTCTGAGCACAGCATTGGCTCTGACTCCTGGCCATCAGCTGGGCATTCCTGCTTCCTGCTGAGACCTGTGCTGCCCAGGCTGCCTCCCACAGCCCTGCTCCTTTTCCATCACTGATGTTTGCAAATAGTCAGTATTGGTGGAGAAATTCCTCTCCTGGTTGTATTCTTCTCCATCCATGGAACCACCCAGTGGTTAAAATTGCAGAAGATGACTCCATCCTTACTGTGGTCACAGCTTTGCTGTGAAAAGGGCTGAAGGGCTAAAATAAAACACAAAATCAGGGAGTGAACGCTGTTTTCTAGGCTGATACTTCTAGGCTGTGAAAAGGGTTAAAGGGCTTTTAGAAGGGCTAAAATAAAGCACA